CCCTGCCAAATACACATCACACCTATGCATAAAATACATGTCACACCTAAATATCTGTCCTTGTAATCATATGGAAAATATTTTGTATGGGGTTTATGTGACGTGAAAACTAATCTTTTTCAGAGTTTCGAAGTTTCATCCACGTCTTCTTTTGCATGTGCATGTACACGTTTCTTAGTTGTATCGAATACTGCATAATTGATATATATATATAATGACATGCCTTTGAAATGACCTTGACTTAATACCGTCAGTGGAATAATCAAAGCTGGTATCTTTATAAATAACGAAACTACCTAAAGATCGTTAAAATTACTCAGTAATCGTTTCAAACAATGCATAATTATGGAGGGACATCATTTTGAACAATTAATGCGATGATTAAAAGAATATATTATTTTATAAATACAACAATGTTCTTCTAGAAATTTTAATTTTAATTTTGCGACTCAAGGTCATTTCAATGTCATCTTCAAAACTCTGAAAAAAGTGACCTTGGCAAAACCATTCTTTCGAGGTCACATAAATTGCATACAAAATATTTATTTCATTACGAGTAGGGAAGATATCTAGGTGGTTACCTTGATTATTATATTTTGAAATTGAATTTCGCATAACGTGGAAACATGATAATTTCAAGCTGACAGAAAATATAACTTGACAACGGAATCCATATCGAAGAATTAACCAGAGTCAAATCAAACTTTCTCATCGTAAAAGAAGGGAAAAACTGGAAATGGAGAATATATTTTGTATGATTATACTTCCATACTAACTGAAATCGAATATTGAATAAATCCCAAGGTGAAGCAATAAAAAAAGTACATATTGTAATGCCGTGAAAGTAATTTTAAATAAAATTTGATAAGGGAATCCATGTAGAAGAATTAGATTCAAATCAAACTTTCTCATCGCAAAAAAGGAAATGGAGAAGGTATTTTCATTGATTACACTTCCATACTAACTGAAATCGAATATTGAATAAATCCCAAGGTAAAGCAATTAAAAACGTACATATTGTAATGTCGTAAAAGCAATTCTACTCTGAATTACAACAGAGCTTAAAGAATAATAAGAAGGTTAGAGCTTGCACTGAAAAGGGTTCTACACTGTACGGTTGAAGAATAAAATTGCTAAAGAATTTATAATTCGTAAGCAGAGAGCTGAGATTCACGAGGAGTTTTCTCCGGTGGTAAAAGTGACAGGATGAGATCAAATTTCGAATCAGTTGGACCTATCTTTGTCTCGTAGACTTCTTCAGTGTCAGTCTCGAAGGGTTAAGTATGTTCGTTGGGCATCCCTCTTGTACCTCTATGCTAACCCCGCCTCAGGAGGGTTGGCTTCCGTTTCCGGATTGGCACGTGAATCGTGAGGACCTTGAAGAGGGTATACGTTGTCGTGGTAGCACTTAGGCACGTGGTGCCTCATGAAAGACCGGCAGAGATTCAATATGGCTCCATTATACGTAGATCTACTCCTCCGACGCTACTCTTTCAGGAACACCAAGGGTGGCCTCTTATCCTTTGATTCGTTTTAAAGGATCCCGTGTCATCGTGTAACGATCTGTGTATGTACCGTTGGCTGTGTTGTGATTAATAGAGATTGGCGGGAATATGCGTACCTGCTGAAAATTCTGAATCATTTTCTCACTCGTTGATATACCAACCGTCGAAAATATGTCTAATATTTTATAATATTATGTTATATTATAATAGTTCGTAATCGTGTTGCGATAATTTAATATGATATTATTATATAATTATTATAATTTAAATTACATTATAATGTTATACAATGTTGTTATAATATTATTATGATTTTGTATGATATTTTAAATAAATATACTACGTTAAATATATAACAACAATAACAGTAACCGTAACATCACCAGCATCACTGACATCCAATCAACATCACCAACATTACCGACATCCACATAAACACCACCAACATCACCGACATCCAAGCCAACATCAACGACACCACCGACATTTACATCAACATCATCGACATCCACACATCAACATCAACATCAACATCGACATCCACATCCACATCCATATTCACATCCACATCAACATCACATCAATATCAACGCCAATACCAACATCAACACATTAAGATTAATACGTCGACATCAACACCAACATGTCAACGTCAACAGTCAACGTTCAACTTTCAATATTTCACGTGCCATAAACCACATTTCACATTAAATATTTAATTTACGATTTAATGTTTAGTGTTTAATATTCGATATCTAATATAAAATATTTAATATTTAATGTACAATATGCAGCGTTTAATATTGCATACCTCATATTTTAATATTTGGTGTAATGTTAAATAATGTTAAATAAACCGAATATAAAAACGTTTTCCACATGCGAACCCTCGTGAGTGAATGCTGATAACAACATTAGAATTGTCGGAGTTACTGTCGGCATATAAGCGCGGCAACACGGTAACACGTACACATGTAAAGCACAACTGCAAGTCAGTACGTCAACACGTACACATGTAAAGCACAACTGCAAGTTAGTACGTCAACACGAAAACAGTACACACTAAAAGCACGTCAACACTAAAAACGCGTCAACACTAAAAGCACGTCAACACTAAAAAGCACGTCAGCACTAAAACACGTCAACACTAAAAAGCACGTCAGCACTAAAAAGCACGTCAACACTAAAACACGTCAACACTAAAAGCACGCCGCACTAAAAACAGGCCGGCACTAAAAACACACCAACATCCACATCCACATCCACATCCACATCAACATCAACATCAACATCAACATCAACATCAACATCAACATCAACATCAACATCAACATCAACATCAACATCAACATCAACATCAACATCAACATCAACATTAACATTAACATTAACATCGACATCGCATGGACAATGGCAACGGCAACAGCATCATCAACAGCAGCAACATCAACAACAACAACAATAATAATAATGTTATTAGTAGTATACAGTTATTATGAATTAAAATACATTATAATATTATAATATTAAATATTTATAACATCGTATAATTATAATATGATTGTAATATTACGACATTGCCATCGCATGGACAATGGCAACGGCAACAGCATCATCAACAGCAGCAACACAACAACAACAACAATAATAATAATGTTATTAGTAATATACAGTTATTATGAATTAAAATACATTATAATATTATAATATTAAATATTTATAACATCGTATAATTATAATATGATTGTAATATTTAGTATATTATTGTATGCACAATAATATTGTAACATGTATTTTATTATATTACATTAAATATATAATAATTGTTATATTGTTATTGTTATATAATTATTATAATTTAAAATATATTGTATTGATATACAATGTCACTGTTATCGTTATAATTATACGTTAAATTACATTATATTGTAATGCAGTTGTAATATATATAAGTTATAGCTACACAATATTCATTAAATTAATTGAGGAATTTTCAAATTTTAACATTAATTTCAAGTTAGTAGAAATGACTAGAAATCTGATTTTAAAATTTTTATAACTCGTAGGGGAAATTTTGCAGGGTTTCAAATTAACCATATATTATTAAATAACAAACTCAAATATTATGTAGATCGCATACAACTTTTTCAAATGAACATATTATAGACATCATGCATCCACCTATACAAAAATTTACAGAAGTATTACATGATTTTCAACAAAATAATTTTATTACTCATTATAGTCACAAAATTCTCATCGTATCTTGCATCGTGTATCTCAATCACATTTTTTTGAACGTTATCTCTGCAATATTTAAATGTACTTTCGAAGATTCGTTTAATATTTGTTCTTTGTTGTATTCCCTGTTAATCGACACTCTACGTTCGTTTATTCTCGTTTAAAGTTTTAATTCTTCGGCGACACGTGTTCGCCGTAGCGGAAGGTGTTTTGATTGCACACGTGTCGCAGAAACCGGGATTTCGGGCGGTACCTGAAAAAATAATAGCAAAACTAATTATGTAGATCCTGTCGTTGCAGTGTGTCGTGGGAGCACGACAATACGGTAAGCCTTACGAGTCGGCCGCCTTATCAAAATACTCCAAGAGAAACGTACCGAGAGCACGTACATACCACGTGTTGTGCCACTGTGAGTCTTAGCTTGACTAAACTTTGTCACCGTGTTCGAAGAATCACGTACTGGTAACGTCGTTTCTCTAATGTGTCTGACAGATAAATTTTCGTTTCATTCCGTCATTTTTATTTCGAATAAAATTAAATTAATTATTAATTACTAAACTAATAAATTACAATGTAAATATTAAATATTATTAAATATTATCAAATTAAATATAACATAAATATGAACTTATAATTAGTTATTAATTATTAGAACTAATAAATTAATTTTTCATTTCGGGGTAATTTTACATTTTAATATAGCTTGATTTTTCCTATACTTACGAAAACATTCGATAGCAGGAATAATTTCTTCAGATATTTTTGTTAACGATATATTATCTATGGTATTAATCTTCATCTGTAAAATCGAATTTGGTTTATAATTTTGGTGTAATTTATTTTATCGAAATTCGAAATGTTTCTTTGAAAATACTTGGAAAACGATGAAGGATGTGAAGTAACGTAGTATTATTTTGTGATGCGTTATGTTTTGTTAGAATCATATAAATAAGATTAGAAATACTGTTGAACCCCAATAATTCAAACTTCGATAATTCGAATTTTAGTAATTCAAACCTTGATAATTCGAATCTTGATAACTCGAACATCGATAATTCCAATCTGATAACTCGAACTTCGATAATTCTCACTCCGATAATTCGAACGTTGACAATACAAACACTGATTATTAGAACCTTGATAGCTCGAACCCCGATAATTTGAATCTCAATAAATCGAACCTTGATAACTCGAACCTCAAATAATTCGAACTTCGACAATACGAATCTCGATAACTCGAACCTTGACAATACACACCCTGATAATGCGAACTTTGATAACTCAAATCCCGACAGTTCGAATCTTGATAACTCGAACCTAGATAATTCGAATCCCGATAATTCGAACATTGATAGCTCGAACCCCAATAATTCGAATTTTGATAATTCAAACCTCGATAATTCGAACCTTGACAATACACATCCTGATAATTCGAACTTTGATAACTCAAATCCCGACAGTTCGAATCTTGATAACTCGAACCTCGATAATTCGAATCCCAATAATTCGAACATTAATAGCTCGAACCCCAATAATTCGAATTTTGATAATTCAAACCTCGATAATTCGAACCTTGACAATACACATCCTGATAATTCGAACTTTGATAACTCAAATCCCGACAGTTCGAATCTTGATAACTCGAACCTCGATAATTCGAATCCCAATAATTCGAACATTGATAGCTCGAACCCCAATAATTCGAATTTTGATAATTCAAACCTCGATAATTCGAACCTTGACAATACACATCCTGATAATTCGAACTTTGATAAATCAAATCCCGACAGTTCGAATCTTGATAACTCGAACCTCGATAATTTGAATATTGATAGCTCGAATTCCAATAATTCGAATTTTGATAATTCAAACCTCGATAATTCGAACCTTGACAATACATATCCTGATAATTCGAACTTTGATAAATCAAATCCCGACAGTTCGAATCTTGATAACTCGAACCTCGATAATTCGAATCCCAATAATTCGAACATTGATAGCTCGAACCCGAATAATTTGAATTTTGAGAATTCAAACCTCGATAATTCGAACCTTGATAATCCCAATCCCAATAATTCTAATCTCTTTAATTCGAAAACCTCTATAAGACCTCTAAATGAGTATTTCGTTCATTCTCTTCCACCCCAGCCCTTAAAATCCTCTATTAATTCATAAATACACCGCTTCGAAATAATTCGAGGAACATTAAAAACCACACGGTACACGATCATTTTTGCCAAGGTATACTTTACTTCAAAGTAAATGGAGAAATATCGAAAATCGTATGAAACGGAATGATTTTGTCGCACACTGTAGCGTTAAATTGGCATCCCTAGTGGACGTGAATGGACACCTGGCCGGGTGGTAAACACCCAGCAGACGCTGCGGGACGCTAGCATGAGGATGGCCACGTAACGAGTCTCTCCGTCATCGTAAAATTTCTTCCTTCAACGTGGTGAAATTAGACGATCGATTAAACGCCTCGAAAAGTCTCGCCACGCAATTAAGGATCACCGGCAAGATACGCTGATAACATGGCCGGTCTTCGCGCCATCTTCCCTCGCAGTAAATCCATAACCCCTCTCCCTGCTTTTATTCCACTATTTTATCCAACTACCGTGTAATTTCCTTGAATATTTAATGCTGCAACTCGTTATCGTCTGCTGCTAACGTTGTAACGTTATTCCTGTTAATGATTGAAAAAGATTATCGGTGAATAATTATTCCAGATAATTAGAGGTTAGGTTATTGGCGGATGAGAAATTGTGAATTCAAAGAGTACCAGAGGATGATAATTGACGTTGTAACTTTATAATTTTGAGTGAAAGATGGTTTTAACAGCGGTTGCTTGACAATGTTGCGTTGATATCGCAGTTAGGCTGATGTCTGGGTTCAGACAGGTGCTTTGGTGACCATCAAGATCTCGAGGAGGTAGCTGCAAGGTAGTGAGACATTAGGGTATTCGATAAAACGTCGATTATCCGAATTAATCAGGAAAAAAGTTTGATCCGAAGAAAACAAATTTTGAAAATTTCGAATTTTTCCAATTTTTTAAATAAATTGATTAGAAATGGAAAATTATTTATAATTATATTCGAGTCATTTTTATCTAGGTCCATTCAGGATTCGTGTCATAATAGTCTTCCAATTTGGGTATGTTATGCTGGCAAATTTTCTAATTTCAATTTTTCCAATTAAATGCATGTACGTGATTTACTTCAATTCGGATAATCCATCGTTTATGTGATCAAAATTCGCATAATTCGACGTTCTACTATAATATGTATGTATTGAACATTTGGAAACTTCGAATGGTAAATTTTTGTTCATCTATGGTGTGATGTAAAAAGAATTTTGTTACATAATGTGTGTAATAGAAGAATATCAATGACTAAAATCTGGAAAGAAAATATGCTCTGTGGATATACTATACCAGTTATCGTGCATATAGCAGTGTGAATTGCTAGATGATGTATCATAAGTGATTGACGTGCAATTGCAAAACAGATGACTCGTTATCAGTTAACGATTAATAACACTCTGCTTGAAAGTCGAACGTGTAATTATTGCAAATCAATATACCTATTGAAAGTGCATACCAATAAAAGATGATGTATAGTATAGCTTTATGTAACTATACAAGGTAATTTTAATGTGCTTAATAATTTTCATCATCAGTGTTTGGGGAATTTGTTATAGTATTGTTCATGATATTGTTACAATTGGAATCTGAGTAAAATATACAGTAATTTTATACAATTATATAAGATAATTTTATATAAAAATAATTATAAAAGGTAATTTTAATTTTCTTAAAGATTTTCATCATTAGTGTCTGATGAATTTGTTATAGCGTTGTTAGTAATATTGTTATTATTGGAATTTTAATGAAAAAGTATACAATAAATTTATATATAATTATACAAGATAATTTTACATAAAAATAACTATAAAAGGTAATTTTAATTTGCATAATAATTTTCATCATTAATATCTGAAAAATTTGTTATAGTGTTGTTCATAATATTGTTATTATTGTAATTTTAATGAAATAGTATACAATAATTTGATATAATTATACAAGATAATTTTATATAAAAATAATTATAAATGGTAATTTTAATTTTCTTAAAGATTTTCATCATTAGTGTCTGAAGGATTTGTTACAGTGCTGTTAGTAATATTGTTATTATTGGAATTTTAATGAAAAAGTACACAATAATTTTATGTAATTATACAAGATAATTTTACATAAAAATAACTATAAAGGGTAATTTTAATTTTCTTAAAGATTTTCATCATTAGTGTCTGAAGGATTTGTTACAGTGTTATTAGCAATATTGTTATTATTGGAACTTTAATGAAATTATATACAATAATTTTATATAAAAGAACTATAAAGGATAATTTTAATTTGCTTAATAATTTTCATCATTAATGTTAGAAAGAATTTATTATATTGTTGTTCATAATATTCTTATTATTGAAATTTGGATGAAAATCGACTATTATTTCGACAATTAACCCTCTGCACTCGAGGATGTTTTGACTAGAGAAGAATATAAATTAAAAAATTTTCAACTATAAAGCTGACGTTATCTTTTTAAATGGTAAATAAAGAAATCGTGTAATAATTAACACGTGAAATTATTTAATTTCAATATCTCGAATATTGTTGCGTTACCTTAAATTTGATATACTAATTAATATCGATCTTCAAAATTTTATTGAACGGAAACTGAAGATCGTGTCTCGAATGCATAGTGCTAATTATAGTAATTATTTGTATTTGTAGCATATAATACATTTGATCATTAGTAGAACTCTAAATTCCGTGCGCTATAGTTATTTATTCAGAATAGAATCACTATAGCTTCTAATTAACTTAGGACTAATTGCGAAAACTTTTCTATTTTGGTAAAATTTTGCAAAACAGAAAATAGAGATTATTAATTAGATTAAAATACAATAACCCAAATTATTTTTATTACACTATAGACTCATTGATTCATCATTCAACAGTAAAATTCGAGGTTTTCCTTCATCAACTTCATACTATAATCACCCAATCAGCTAACTCAAAATACAAATACTTAAATTATTTTTTAAATTATATCTTATATATTTTATTATATCTTA